AGGGGGTGGAGGTGGGGCTGGGGGTGGGATGGAGATTGGGATAAGAATGGGGATGGGATGGAGATTGGGATAAGAATGGGGATGGGATGGAGATTGGGATAAGAATGGGGATGGGATGGAGATTGGGATAAGAATGGGGATGGGATGGGGATGGGAGTGAGGATGGGGATGAGGATGAGAATGGGATGGAGATTGGGATAAAAATGGGGATGGGATGAAGATGAGGAGGGAGCCAGACAGCAGAGCAAGGCAGGAGCAACCTCACCAGCAGGGTAGCGTGGCCGAGCGGTCTAAGGCGCTGGATTAAGGCTCCAGTCTCTTCGGGGGCGTGGGTTCGAATCCCACCGCTGCCAAGAATGCTTTTCCTCCTTTTTTTCTCTCCATCTTCCCCTTTTCATTCCGTTATTCCCCCTTCCCTTCTCCTCCTCCGGCAAACTAGGAGCATTTAAAATGCAGGCATTCGTTAGCCACCTGCTTCCCCTCCCTCCTATTCATCCCCCTTTCATCCCCACCATCTTTGTGGTAAAAAACCCCAGCGTTTTGGTCAAAAAATTGAGCGTGGTTTGGTGTTTTTTTTGTACCGGTCGAATTATTTTTTACCTACCAGGAAGGGGGGTAAAAAAAACGAAAGGGGAGGTGTTTCTGCCCGGTCTCGAACCGGGGACCTTTCGCGTGTTAGGCGAACGTGATAACCACTACACTACAGAAACCCACGCGGGGGGACCCCCCCTATAACGCTCCTCGTGGTCTCCCGCACCCCGACACCCGGCTGGGGGGATTAAGGGGCTTTTTTGACCTGTTTTTCCCACGCGTTTCCCCCCAGTTGGCTGTTTTTTGGGGGGAAAAACACGCGTGTGTAAGCTCCTGTGCACGCACGCGGCTTGTGGGTGGAGAAGCGACACTCGGGTCTCTAAAACGCGGCCCGTAACGTCACGCTCAGCGTGGAAAAAAGTGTGGGGGAAAAAAAAAACATTTTTGCCTCTCAGGATGAGAAATCCGCAGCTGGCGCGGCCAAAAGGAGCCGCAGGATTTGGCTGAGCTGGGGAACTCCTTGCTGCAGGGCGCAACGGGGGTTCGACGGGCTCAAGGGGCAGAAAAAGGCTCGCTAATGTGATTTTTTTTTTGCATTATTTCTGGCCGTAATCGTATTATTTCCGTGCAGTTTCCACCTATCCTGCAAGGCTGCTGGTGGCGAGGGTGTGCACACAGCCGTGCACAGGCACCGGACTGCCCTTGATTATTTTTTCCGTGCTTTTGCTTGAGTAACTTAATATTCTTCGTTATTCCCTATGGATTACTTGGGAAATAATTAATAGTATATTCCTTTTGTGAAGAAGAGAGGATTATTATGCAACTTGCAGTACCTCCTGCTCATCCTTCTTTGGCAAAGCTGTTAAAATGAGCCAGGTTATTGTGTGTTTGTCTGGGGAAAAAAGAAATACTTCTCTCTCATTTCTCTCGCTTACACACCTCTTGTCCCGACCTTGATTCACCCCAGCTCCTGAACGATTTTTATTCCTAGAGTTACACACAGTAGAAGCTGCTTATTCGCAGTTGCTATTAATAAAAATTAGTGGGTTTTTTTTTTCTGCGGGGACCGAGCCAAGATCAGCTCAGGAGAGGTAACAGCCCGTGAGGGAAAGAGCTGGAGCATTTCTGTGCATCCACAGCTCTTGTGCGATGGGAAATGCTGAATTCACGCCGCTGTGCACAAACCGTGAGATTGATGCAAAAGCGGAGGCCCGGGGAGGCTGTGTGCAGTGGTCGCCTCTTCTTTGTGTGGTTTGGGAGGCTAACGAAAGGTATTAGCAGGGAAGGGTTAATTTACAAGTAACAGGGGAACTCAGACGCCTGTCTGAGCTGCGTGATGGCAAAAAGGTCCTGAAACCTGGGGGTTTTTTTTCTCCCCGCCGTGGGTTTCCCTGGTGAGCTGCTGAGAGCGCTGCGGCTGGAAACGGGACTTGAAAAAGCTGCGGAAGGAAGGGAAAAATCATTAATTAAAATATTTAAACTATTTATTAAAAAAATTATTATTAAAAAAAAAACCCAAACCAACCCAAACAGCTGAGAGCGCTGCGGCTGGAAATGGGACTTGAAAAAGCTGCGGAAGGAAGGGAAAAATCATTAATTAAAATATTTAAACTATTTATTAAAAAAATTATTATTAAAAAAAAAACCCAAACCAACCCAAACAAACAAGAAAAATAGAGGAGGAAGGGGGGGGAAAAAAAAAGTCGGGCTCGGCCGGGATTTGAAC